TAACATTGTTTTCTTAACTCCATTAAATATCTTTTTTTTTTTTTGAGACAGAGTCTCCTTTGTTGCCAGGCTAGAGTGAGTGCCGTGGCTCAGCCTAGCTCACAGCAACCCAAACTCCTGGGCTCGCAGGATCCTTCTGCCTCAGCCTCCTGGTAGCTGGGACTACAGGCATGTGCCACCATGCCCGGCTAATTTTTTTATATATATAGTTGGCAATTATTTCTTTCTTTTATAGTAGAGACGGGTTCGCTCTTGCTCAGGCTTGTTTTGGAGAGACGGGGTCTCGCTCAGGCTGGTTTTGAACTCCTGACCTTGAGCAATCCGCCCGCCTCGGCCTCCCAGAGTGCTAGGATTACAGGCGTGAGCCACAGCGCCCGGCCAGAAGTGTATTTCTTAATTTCCAAACATAAGGGAATACTCCAGTTGTCTTTCAGGTACTGATTTCTAGCTAAACTTAAATTGTATACTATAATTGAAAAACATAATTTATATGATTTTCATGCTTTGAAATTTGAAACTGAATTTATGGCTTAAAATACGGTAACATTTTAAAATGTTACATTGCACTTGAATAAAATTTGTAGTCTGAAGTTGTTGGGTAGGCATTCTATATATGTCCATAAAATATTAATAAAATCTGGTAGTCTTGTCTCAAGCTTCTATGTCCTTACTGATTTTCCTTATGGTTGTTCTAACAATTACTGAGAAGGGAGTGTTAAATCTCCCACTGTGGTTGGTTATCTGTGTATTTCTACTTATATTTGTATGCTTTATTTATTTTGAGGTTATTAGGTGTGCTCATATTGGAAACAACTGTCTTCCTAAAGTTTTATCAATATGAAGGGAGCTTCTTGAGCAATAGCAAAATTTTTTGCCTTAGTCTATTTTATCTGATACCAATATAACTACATTGGCCTTCATGTTGGTATCTGCATGGCATATCACTTTATGACTCTTTTACTTTCAACCTTTCTGTATCCTTATATTTAAGTCTTGAAACTGTTTGGTTTTTTAAAAATTCAGCCTGGCATTGTCTTTTAATTGGAAGTTAGTTCATTTACATTTAATGGAAATACTAATACATTTGGGTCTATATCTACCCCCATACTACTTTGTACTGTTTGTCCCACTTGTTCTGTTTTTGTTTCCCCCGTTTTTTCTTCTTCGAATTGATTATGTTTAAAAATCATGCCAAATGTTTTTCCTTTACTGGATTGGAAGTTTTATGCTCAAATTCTGTTCTTTTAAAAGTTACCCTAAAAATATTACTACATGTATCCTTTAATTTATGAATGTTTACTGTGAATCAATACCTTACAAAACTTTTTCTCCATTTATTATCACTTCTGACTACTATGCTATTGTGTATTTTAATTCTTTAGTTTTTAAACTTCATAATTATTTTGAGTAATCAGTGCTCATTTATATCCACTCATATAAAATTACTTTCTTCTTCTTTTTTTGCATCTCTGACCTTCATTTTCTTTCTGCCTAAAATTAATTCTTTAGAATTTCTTTCAATGAGTAAGTTGGCTGGGGGCAAGCTCCCTCAGTTGTATGTCTGAAAGTCTATCTTACTATCATTCTTTTTTTTAATTTTTAAATCCTTATTATTTTTTAGAAATGAGATCTCACTGCCTCCCAGGCTGAAGTGCACTGGTGCAATTATAGTTCATTGCAGTCTCATACTCCTGGTCTCAAGTAATCCTCCCACCTCAGCCTCCCAAGTAGCTGGGACTACAGGCATATGCCACTACACCAGATAATTTTTAAATTTTTTTAGACATGTGTCTATATTGCCTACTCTGGTCTCAAACTCCTGACCAGAAATGATCCTCCCACCTCAGCCTCCTGAGTAGCTGGGATCTCTCAGGCATGAGCCACCATGCCCAGCTTACTACCATTCTTTTTGTTATTGTTACTTGTTTTGTTTTGTTATTTGTATTGTTTTGTTATTTGTTATTTATTTTGTCTAGTGTCAAATCAGTTTTGACATTTGTTAAACATTCTTCTTTACTTTTTTTTTTTTTTTGCTCTAGTGAGTGTGTGGTAAGTTTCTCAGATCTCTTCTTTTCTTTTGAGTGATAACAAATGGGATTCTAGGGCTTAGCCTTAAAAATGTTACTGGGGAAAAGAATCTCAGAGAAATAGAGAAAATCTCCCTTCCAATATGGCTGTAGGAAAATGAATATATTTCCACAAAAACGTGTCACAGGTAAATTGGTGAATTATAAAGATTCCCCAACTACCATTCTTAAAAGATATTTTTGTTTAGTGTAGAATTTGTGGTTGGTTGGTAGTTATATTCTTTCAGAACATTGAGGATATATCCCACTGTCTTTTAGCTTCCATTATTGCTACTGAGTAGTCATCTATCAGTGTAACTAGTATTCCTTTAAAGAAATTTTTCTGTATGTGTCGGTACATGTGGATTTCTTCTCATGTATACATTTGGAAGTTGTTAGACTTCTTTAACTTCTGATTTAATGTCTTACATCAGGTTCTGAAAATCTTCCAGTGATTGACCCTTCAAATATTGTCTCTACTCCATTTTTCTCTCTTTTCCTTTTAGAACTCCAAGTAAATAAATATGAGACAGTTCCACTCCATCTTCTATGCCTCATATCCTTTTTCTGTCCTTTTTATGGTTTTTTTCTCTCTTTATGCTATATTTGGGTTAATTTCTTCTGGCCTATCTTTCAGTTTACGAATTCTGTTTTCAGCTATGTCTACTTTTTTCTTATGCCTGTCCATTATGTTTTTAATTTTTATTATCTTTTAGTTCTAGATGTTGTCATTTTTCAAATCTCCTAGGTCACATCTGACAGTTTCTTGCAAGCATGTTCCTTGCAAGCATATTTAAGTTTGTCCTTTATTTATTTAAAAATAGAAAGTGTAATTATTTTTATAACTTTTGTGTAACTATTCCAGTGCTTTAGATGTATAAGAATCTTTTTGTGTTATCTGTTCTCACTCATGTGGTTTTATTTTCCTGTGCACCTGCTTATTTTTTGACTGAATGTTAACCATTTTATTGAAAGATCTACCTATAAAAACAATATAGGCCGGGCGCGGTGGCTCACGCCTGTAATCCTAGCACTCTGGGAGCTTGAGGCGATCACTCAAGGTCAGGAGTTCGAAACCAGCCTGAGCAAGAGTAAGACCCTGTCTCTATTAAAAATAGAAAGAAATTAATTGGCCAACTAAAACTATATAGAAAAAATTAGCCCAGCATGGTGGTGCATGCCTGTAGTCCCAGCTATTTGGGAAGCTGAGACAGAAGAATTGCTTGAGCCCAGGAGTTTGAGGTTGCTGTGAGCGAGGCTGACACCACGGCACTCTAGCCCAGGAACAGAGTGAGACTTTGTCTCAAAAAATAAATAAATAAATAAAAGAAATATTCCCGATCTTTTGTGAGTTTATAGGAAAGACAATCTCAGGCATCATTTACATTGCTTTCATTGATTTATTTTGTCTCTATTCCTCTATTTGGTTTTTGGCATTAAAGGTTTGACTACCAAACAATGAATATAAAATATACACTTTGTAAGCATGTCCTTTAGTAAACAATTAATGATAGCCATGAAACAGTTGACTAAACACAGGTTAATAGTCATATTACAGAAATAATAAAGAAAATCTGCCATGTTGCATTCTATTATAAATAACATTTCAAAATATCTTTGTCAATTTTTAATGGGATTTTGGGATTCTTTTAGCATAAAAGTTGTTAACTTGGGGGTTCAGGAACACATAAATATTTATTTATTCCATTGAAAATAGTGGCATATGCTTTCAATTTATGGGAATACACCCAAAAGATTTCTGTAGATCAAATTAAACTCTAAATTTTTTTTAGAGGTGGGGGTCTCCCTATGTCACCCAGGTTGGTCTCACACTCCTGGCTTCAAGTAATCCTCCTGCCTTGGCCTCCCAAAGTGCTGGGATTAAAGGTGTGAGCCACTGCACCCAGCAAAATTAAACTCTTAAGAGACTATTTCTCTGAGAAAATCGGACCGTTGTCATGTTTTGATAATTTTTTGGTCATTATCTTTTGATTTTATGGTAATTTTTGCTATAAAAGAACTGCATTAATTCATTCAACAAATATTTGAGTGTCTACCAAATTCTTAATGTTGCAGATATATCAACAAAAATAAAAATCTCTTGCTCTCAAGGAGCTTACATTATACTGACAACCTCAAGATTTCTTTTTTTACATTGTAATCTGACATTTATCTAGAGTTTGGTAAAAAGTGACTCCTTTTTTCCAGTGTAGACTTTGGTCTGCAACTTTATAATATCAAATTGTTAATAGTGCACTGACACAAACTTTTTGCAATTTTCAAAAACAATTTTGCAATGAGTGTCCAAAGCTTTTCTAAAAAGCCTTAAAAATATACATGCAAATATACTCAGAAATTTCACTTCTTAGAACTTAAAAAAATAATTAAGCTTTTTACAGTCTGGTCTCCAAGCGTAGGGCCAACGCTAAGCAGGGGATTGTGTTCTCTCCAATTGCAGGCCTTATCAGAATTGGATATGTCCTTCATATTTGATTGGATTTACAGTGGTTTCAGCAGTGTGCTACAGTTTTTAGGATTATATAAGAAAATTGGTAAATTGGTATTTCTTGGATTAGATAATGCGGGAAAAACAACATTGCTACACATGCTAAAAGATGACAGACCTGGACAACATGTCCCAACATTACATCCCACTTCAGAAGAACTGATCACTGCTGGCATGACTTTACAACTTTTGATCTGGGTAGACATATTCAAGCTCGAAGAGTGTGGAAAAACTACCTTCCTGCTATCAATGGCATTGTATTTTTGGTGGACTGTGCAGACCATGAAAGGCTGCTAGATCAAAAGAAGAACTTGATTCACTAATGACAGATGAAACCACTGCTAATGTGCCTATACTGATTTTTGGGAATAAGATCGACAGACCTGAAGCCATCAGTGAAGAGAGATTAAGAGAAATATTTGGTTTATATGGTCAGACAACAAGAAATGGCAGTGTATCTCTGAAAGAAATGAATGCCTGACCCCTAGAAGTTTTCATGTGCAGTGTGCTCAAAAGACAAGGTTATGGAGAGGGCTTCCGCTGGATGGCGCGGTACATTAACACCGACCTGTGTTGGTTCCAGGTCTCGACATTCAGGCCTGCTCAGAGATTTGATCACTCAACATGCATAACTTGAATTCAATAGATTTTTGTTTCTTATAAAACAGATGTTTTTTAGATTATTAATATTATATCAAATTGATTTGAGTGAGAATTGAAAACTGATTCAAGTTAGTTTGAATATCACACTATTAGTTTTCTAATTCCATAAAAGTAATTAGTTTTTACAGTTTATAATCTGACATTACCCCAGCGCCATTTATAAAGAATGACTTTCAAGGAGTACATTTGAAGCACTTTTTAATAACATGAAACTACAAATATCAACCATATTTAAAAGCTCATCATGTTAAATTTTTTATATACTTTTTTGGAACTAGTTAGTTTTTAAATTTTAGATTGTATGTCCACCTATTTTAAGTGTACAGTTAGTTAATAATTAGCTTATCAATGGTTGCATGATGCCTTACAGTTTTCAATAATATTTTTTCTTATGCAAATGTCATGCAATAAGACAAACTCTTAAAAAAAATAAATAAATAATAATTAAGAATATACACAAAAAGCCAGGTGTGGTGGCTGACACCTGTAATCTCAACACTTTGGGAGGCTTGAAGTGAGAGGATCACTTGAGGCCAAGGAGTTCAAGACCAGCCTAGGCAACATTGCCATATCCCATCTCTAAAAAAAATGAGTAAATTAGCCAGGCATGGTGGTGTGCACCTATAGTCCCAGCTACACAGGAGGGTGAGGTGGGGGGGATGAAGCTCAAGAGTTCAGGGTTACAGTGAGCTATGACAGGGGCCACTGCACTCCTGCCTACATGACAGAGCAAGATTTTGACTCCAAAATTAAAAAAAAAAAAGGATGTACACAGAGATTAGAATATTCATCACAGCCATTACAGCATTATGGTACTAGAAATAACTCAACTCTCCAAAAAATGTAACTGGTTGAATACCTTATGGTATTTCTATATAATGTAAATAATATATAATCACTTAAATGCATGTTTTATTATATAATTTATATACAAATTATATAAGTTAAATCCTATATCTTGTTTAGAATTGCAGGTTATTAAAAGGTATTAATATTAACAACATGATTCTATATACATTAAAAAAGATAGATGGCTATATACCAAAACATTAACTCTGGTTATCTCTATACTGTAAGATTAGAGGTAATCTTATTCCTTTTTTGTTTCTTTGTTTTTCCATATTTTCTACTAAATTAAAATTAATTGTCAATAATGAGTCAATAGAGAATGCATCATTAACAAAACTCAAAGGATGTTTAAGAGTTTCAGTTTATACCTATGGAGTACAATGTATACTATTCAAGTGTGGATATACCAAAGACTCAGACTTCACCACCATTATGTTACAATACTTACATGTAAGAGAATTCAAGTTGTACACCCTAATCTATTAAAATAAAAAAGTTTCCATTTAATATTTAATACAATGTATTACAGGATGAAGGCCAATGTATATTTATTTAATAGCATGCTCTTACTTGAAATTACTTGAAAAGAAATACCATAGAACATGCCCAATATTTCCATTTGTAAAGAATTATTAAATAATTAAAATAAAAATACACTTTGAGTTAGTTACCTATCCAGGGCTTCCTTGAAGTATTTTCTCTGGACATCAAACTGAAAGACTGTCCGTTCACAATCAGTTGAAGCATTATCACTACCCCCATGTTTCTTCAGGAAGGCATCAAACCCATTCTCATCTGGATATTTCAAACTACCCATGAATACCACTAAATGGAAAGAACACAAAGCCACAGAACACAAAGATATAGACAATATTTTTTATTATCGAGGATAAACTTTGTTATATGGATGGCAAAACTGAAAGAATATAGACCAACACATTAACAATGGTTATGTCTGGATAATACTTACTTTCTTCATTATACTTCTATTTTTATAACTTTCTATAATGCTCATATATTACTTTTATACTAAAAAAACCCAAACATTACATTTTTAAAGATACGAAAAACATGTAATTGATTTATAAAAAGGCTAAAATTTAAGAAGTATATATGAAGATTATCTGCTACTATAAAAATTCATAAAGTGAGAAGTTTATCCTCAAATAGCTTAGAAAACTAGAATATAAAAAATGAGTAATTCAGAAAAACAAATATGGATTTAAATATTTATAATTATATATAATATTCCACATAGGTTTTGTTCAAGTACATTCATAATAAACTGAAGTTTCTATTTTGTTTTGTTTTTATGTCAATCATGCTTTTTTATTTTCTGCATTTCTGATGCTTTGACATCTCGGGGCCTTGCTAATCCTGGAAGAGACTGCCCCTCCCAGGACTAGCCAATTCCTGGAAAATAGCAATCTTCTGATGTATTAGCTTTACCATACCTAAATAAAAATAACACCTACATTTTAAAGTAGTTTTCTAAGTGGTTTTATACTAATTCTCAATATAAGCCCACTGAAGGAGATTAAAGTGGCTCCCTATGACATTCATAAATCAAAGATTTTTTTCTTAGCCTTTTTCTCTTGTTGAATATATCATAATTCTATCAAACCAATTACTTATCTTTGAAAAAAACTCATACAAATTTAGAAGGAAACAAACACACCCTGGAATGATATTTTACAAGATCTTACTGTGCTCCAAAAAGTGTGCCAGCCCGGGTAGGTCATCTGGATCAGCAAAACTCCCAACTCCAACACAAAGAGCCGCTGCAGACTGGAGTAAGTAGAACACATACAAATAGTTGAGTCAATCCCAAAGGAATAATATTAGCATTTCATCTTAAGGATTCACTTGGAGATGGATGTTTTCCAATAGAAAGTAACAAAATTCTTTCCCTGAGAATCAGGAGGAGCAGCAAAGTGAAACTCACCAGAACTGTGTCAGTTTCACCCTGCTGCTCCTCCACTTGCCATCCTGCCAAATGCTGAACAGGTGCAGACCTAAGGAAAAAAGCAGAAACAGACCGAAAAAAAGGGAAGAGGGACTGGACAGCCCACCCAAATATAATTCATGTCAGCATTTCAGAATTCTGAACCAAGTTTGTTCCCTGAATTATTAGATTTTGGAAATCTGCAAAGAAACATGTCTAAGTAGATTATCTCTAAAGATCTCTAAGCAATTAAATACTCTGTGTTCAGTAACTCAGTTACTAAATGTGAAACCTCTCAATATGTTACTCAGAAATTTTTGTTTTTATTAAAATAGAAAGTAAAATAACATTTTAAGAAAAGATCTAACAAAAATAAGTGGTTAAAAAAATAAAATCTTTAGCTATTAAAAAAATTATAGAACTACACGTTAAAGAGGCTTTTTAGTTCTTCGCATCTTATTGAAGATATATAGTATATATTACTTATCAGTATATATTCTCCCAACACCTTGGGAAAATCAGAGCTTTTAACAAAACAGTTGGCTAGGAGGTACACCAAACTCTGTACTTAAAATGACTGAGGCATGCCATTATATCATTACAAGTTAAAAGACAAAACAAGGAGAGAAAAACAGTCAATTTGAATCCTTTAAGATAGGAAGGTAAATTATTAACATTCCCAAATTTTATAACTGTCAATTTTATAAGGTTTAATATATTTAGTAAAACAGATTTTTTTTTTTTTGAGACAGAGTCTCGCTCTGTTGCCCAGGCTAGAGTGCCGTGGCATCAGCCTAGCTCACAGCAACCTCAAGCTCCTAGGCTCAAGCAATCCTCCTGCCTCAGCCTTCCAAGTAGCTGGGACTACAGGCATGTGCCACCATGCCCGGCTAATTTTTTATATATATATTTTTAGTTGTCCAGCTAATTTCTTTCTATTTTTTTAGTAGAAACAGGATCTCACTCTTGCTCAGGCTGGTCTCAAACTCCTGAGCTCAAGCAATCCTCCCACCTCGGCCTCCCAGAGTGCTAGGATTACAGGCGAGAGCCACCACGCCCGGCTGAAACAGATTATTTTTATAAATGGTTGCCCTATTAGAAAAAGAGCTTTAAAAAAATAGCATGTACCTGGCATAAAGTCTAACCGTGTGTCAGAAAATGAAAGTATGTTTTTTAGAAGAACCAAACAGCCTCACTTGATACTATAAACCCCATTTTGAAGACTTAGGCACATAAACTCAGTTAAACATGGGGGAATATCTATTTCTTCAAACCACAGTCTAACCTGTTCTGTGATGTTTTAATAGATGCCTAACCTGCTTTCAGCTCCAACTACCCCATAAAGATTTCTTGTCTCGACCAGCAGGGCTGAAGACATTTTTGAATAAGTTGACTTAAACCACAGTCTATCAGTCAGCTTTGACCACAGCAAAAACAGGCTCTGCGATTGCTAGAAAAGAAATTCATACTTGAGAATTTTCTACCCAAGAAATTCATACTTGAGAAATTCATACTTGAGAACTGAATTAAGAAAGCCCTGAACAAATCATAATTTAGTATATATCTACACTTAAATTTCAATTTTCTTGTTAATATACCAAACTTTTCAGATCAAGAACAACTTCTTCTGGAAGAAGGAAAATGGACAGGGATAAAAAAGTTGCCTCAGAAAAGTAATTAACTACTTAATTAGATAAAGCTTCCCCTAAAAAAACTATCAAATTGTTCTTCCCACTTCTTTATTAATTAATCCCCATATTTACCTTAAACAGGGTTCACATTTTTTAAATAAAAATCATAAAAGCACTTCAAAATCCTATACCAGTCTTAAACCACCTCTTACCAAGACTAATTTACTTTAATTTGCTTTTCCAGATGCTTATTCATTCAATAAATATAAACCCTTTTCCATTGTTAACAATCATGTAGTCTTTCTAGTGTATCCATTGTTTCTGAATCAAAACAAGTTGATCTCCTCTTCAACTACTTGGGTTCCTCTGGTTCCATTCTAGTATAATCCAGAAAATTAGCTATCAATATTTTATAAAGGATTTTATCACACTGAATTGTCAGAAAAGTAGCATCTAAGTCTTTTTTTTTTTTTTTTTTTTCAAGACAGGGTCTCATTCTGCCACCCAGGCTGGAGTGTAGTGGCATGATCATAGCTCACTGCTGCCTCAAACTCCTGGGCTCAAGCGATCCTCCCACCTCAGACTCCCGGGTTGCTGGGACTACAGATGCTCACCACCTTGTCCAGCTAATTTTTTCATTTTTTGTAGAGATGGGGTCTGGCTATGTTGCCCAGGCTGGTCTTGAACTCCTGATCTCAAGCAATCCTCCCTCCTTGGCTTCCCAAAGTGCTTGGACTCCTAACTCATTTTTTTTTTTTTTTTTTTTTGAGACAGAGTCTCGCTTTGTTGCCCAGGCTAGAGTGAGTGCCGTGGCGTCCTAGCTCACAGCAACCTCAAACTCCTGGGCTCGAGTGATCCTTCTGCCTCAGCCTCCCGGGTAGCTGGGACTACAGGCATGCGCCACCATGCCCGGCTAATTTTTTATATATATATCAGTTGGCCAATTAATTTCTTTCTATTTATAGTAGAGACGGGGTCTCGCTCTTGCTCAGGCTGGTTTTTG